AGTTTCTCTGTTCTCTGACCCTGTGGTCAAAAGGTTCCTTAAGGGTTTGGATAAGTCGTATCCGTCGGTTAGACCCGCTCTCCCCGCTTGGGACCTCAACCTTGTGTTGTTTAGACTTATGTCGCCCCCCTTTGAGCCACTGGCTACGTGTTCTTTGAAGCACCTCTCTTTGAAGGTCGCGTTCATTGTGGCCATTACGTCGACTCTCAGGGTCTCCGAATTGAGGGCGTTAACTATAAATCCGCCCTACCCGGTGTTCTCTGACAATAACGTGAGGCTCCGCCCTCATCCAGCTTTTCTCCCCAATGTGGTGTCACCGTTCCATTTGTCCCAAGAAATTTACCTCCCGGTTTTCTTTCCAAAACCCCACGCCTCCTCTAAGGAACAGGTGCTCCATTCCCTGGATGCTAGGCGTGCACTAGCCTTTTATATTGATAGGACCAAACCTTTTTGCAGATCCCCGCAATTGTTTATTGCTGTCGCAGACAGGATGAAAGGGCTCCCCATTTCAACCCAGAGGTTGTCCAATTGGGTCGCAGGGTGTATCAGGGAGTGTTATGCCCTAGCCGGGAAGGTGCCACCCCAAGTCACAGCACACCCCACCAGGGCGCAGGTGTCCTATGTGACTTTCGAGGCGCAGGTTCCAATCACTGAAATCTGCAGGGCGGCCACGTGGTCGTCGCTTCACACCTTTACGGCACACTATGTGCTGTCACAGCAGGCCGGGGAGGATGCAGGGGTGGGCTCTGTAGTCCTCAACTCTGTGCTGTAAATATGTTTGTTATCAGTGCTACATCGCATTTTACAGTTTTTTCTGTGTTCGCTTGGTTGAATAAACAGGTTGTATTGTTCAGCTTTTTGTGAACTTCTCTTTTTTGAGTGCTCCGACCCCTCCTCCTTGAGGGGGCGTTGGCTTGGAAGTCACCTAATTCGAATGGACATGAGCAATCACTCGAAGAAGAAAAGAATGGTTATTTACCTGTAACTGTTGTTCTTCAAGATGTGTTGCTCATGTCCATTCAACTCCCCCCCGCCTCCCCTTCGTTGGAGCATCCGGCAAGAAGGAACTGAGGTGGGGCAGCGCTGGCAGGGGTACTTATGCCCCACCATGGTGGCACCACTCCAAGGAGGCGCCCTGCCGGCTAACATTATTTATATTTAAAGAAAAATAAAAGCAGGTTTAAAAACAGACTAGTTTGTATGTTTTTAAATAAAAGTATGGCATTCTGATATAACCTATTTTTATCCCCAAAATTATTTATAATCTATTTTGCCTTCATTCAACAGCCCTTCTGGAAGAATATGTTTTGCGGGTTACTAGATCAAAGTTTCTAAATATATATATATACAGAGTCAATTATTAAAAAGAATGATAAAAATCAGCCTAACAGGAGTAAACTCTTAAGTCTAGTGGTTCTCAACCTGCAGTATGCTTTCAGCCCAATCAGCACACAACTGTGGTTCATGTTACATCTTCAGGCCATACAGGTAGTACCTATATATATATATATATATATATATATTTTTTTCTTACAAAAATTCCACCCCTTTGTAAAAATCTAAAGATTTGAGCTGTACCAAGGCTAGTATAAATGAGTCAGATCCTACCTGAGTATTTAAGACACTACTATAGTAAAACAACGTAATTGAGACATGTGCAACGTATCTCCTTTTTCAGAGTTTGCTATTGAAGTTATTACATATATATTATAGAATATATAACAATATGAAGTTTTAATTTAAAGGTATATTTTGATGATGTATTTATTTATTTTTCATTGAAGTGCTGGAAGCACAACAACTTAATAAGAAGCTGACATCAGTGAATAAAAGACAAGAATCTGAAATAGATAATTTGAAGGAGGTAAGTAGAGTATGTATTTTCCAGATGTTTAGTTGGGCTTGGTTGAGGAGCTACAGTAGTAGAAGTAATAACAACATACAAATTGTAGCACTGTTCTTCATAATGGCCAGTGGCTAGAATTGGATCTAAGGATACCTAGGTTCAGTTCCTGGCTCTGACACTGCTTTGCTGGTCACCTTGGGCAGTCACATGATGTCCCTCTCTGTGTGTCAGTTCCCCAGCTGTAAAATGGGGATAATGCTACTGATCTTTGTAAACTGCTTTGAGATCTATGGATGAAAAGCACTATATAAGAGGTTGGTATTATGTTAATATTCTATGCCCCCCTTCAATTTTCCCTCCCTCATTCCCTCAATCATTTCCATCCCTATGTAGATTTTTTTCCATACATGGGCAGAATACATTTTATGTGCCCCAAAGCATGTGAAAATGTGCACCACAAATTGAAATAAAAAAATCTAGCTGTGGGCACTCTACTAATCAGCTGGGTGGCATATGAATCTTACAGGGAACACCTGTGTAAAAAATGTATGGGAGGAAAGCTCATCAAATACAGGGCAGCTTTGAAGAGTTCCTGACACATAGGAACTGTCATTGATCTTCATCATCCCAATATCTGGCAGTATAGCTTCCCTCTTTACTTTGTTGCTATACCCTGGCCCACCCCATAGATGCAATAGGTGGCACTTTCCAGAGTGCCAGAAGGAGAGCACTTGTTTCATTTGTGGACCTTTAAAAAGGTCAAAGGGAGGAGGGGTCCCTTTTGGAAATCTTACATAGTTTGAAGACCCCCGTTTGAAAACCTTTGTTTGGGTGTGATGACAACCTTTTACTGACCTCTTAGACATACTCTGTGGACCCCCAATCCTGGTTGAAAATTATGGAGATAGTGTATGGGGAATAGGAAAAAAAACATCTATTGTTATAAAAGAAATCTGGTGGTCTGGGGAGAAAAAAACATTGCAAAATCCAGGGGTTATTGGTGAAGGGTGACACAGAGGGCCACCAGCCATGTGAATCTCCAGCTCAAGGAAGTGCCAGGACAACCCCCACCTTACCCCAGGTCCCACCTCTCTCTGCCCCACAGCCTCTCCACCTGCCTCTTCCCCCAACCAATGTGGTCTGGGGGAACTAGCAGGTCTGGAAGTCTGGCTTTGACGGTAGGGGTCGGCCCTCTCCCCTCCACCCCCATACTCACCGGCAATGACAGGGGAAGCAGAGTAACGTGGCCCCAGCTTCCTTTGCTTCCCTGGTTGTATCGCTCTGTTTCCCACGGGTGAGTGCAGGGGTGGTCCCACTTATCCCCCAAACAACACAGCCAGGAGACCCTCAATGCTCTGCTGCTCCAGCCGCCACTGTTGAGTATTTTGGGGAGGGGGCCTGCTGCTGGTGCCAGGACCCCCACTAGTCCTCTAGGATACCCAGGGACTGGCCCCACTGGCTGCTGGCTGCATCCTTGCCTTTCCTGCCCATGGCATTTAAGGCACATGCCCCCTGGCAACCCCCTATATGCCACCAAATCACTAAAATAAATGGAGAGCTTTGGGACTAAGGTAACAAAGGTAAATAGGGAGGCAGGAGGTGTGTGGACAGTGAGGCTAACCTGCTACTAAGCTCCCTCCTGTCACACACACATTCAGAACTATAGTAGTTTCCAGACATCTCTTTGGAGTTTTCCTTTCTCCTAAGTACTTGAGTGAGGCAGGCTAATAGAGTCAGTATGCATGTGGGGAGGAGCAGTTCTCTCTTCCCTTCTAGTAGCCAATTAAAGGGTAACAGGAGAAAAGCAAAGGCAGCTCCTTCAGTGCTGATATAATTTCATTTTCTGTCCATAATCTCACCCACTGTGTCTACACTGGCACCCCTTTCCGGAAAGGGGATGCTAATGAGACCAGTCAGAATTGCAAATGCCGTGGGGGGTTTAAAAATCCCCCGCGGCATTTGCATGAACATGGCTGCCGCTTTTTTCCGGCTCGGGGTTTTGCTGGAGAAAAGCGCCAGTCTAGACGGGATCTTGCGGAAAATAAGCCTAATACCACATTAGGACCCCTGAACAGGTAGTTTCATGTAGCAACAGCAGCAGGGGAAGTGCCACAGAATCACCTGTCTGAAGATATCAGAGCAGGTATTAGGCTTATTTTCCGCAAGATCCCGTCTAGACTGGAGCTTTTCTCCGGCAAAACCCCGAGCCGGAAAAAAGCTGCAGCCATGTTCATGCAAATGCCGCGGGGGATTTTTAAATCCCCCACGGCATTTGCAATTCTGACTGGTCTCATTAGCATTCCTTTTCCGGAAAGGGGTGCCAATGTAGACACAGCCGGTACCTTGTTCTTGCCTCCTCCTCTCCCACTTCCATTTATTTGAGGGTGGGTTCAGTAATGTTTTCCCCTTCATCACCAGGCTGCTAGAAAGTTTGGAAGAGTACCAGTTCATGGTTCCACTCTCCATTGCCTTTGGGTTGCTATTGCTCTGATATCTTCAGACAGGTGATTCTGTGGCACTTCCCCTGCTGCTGTTGCTACATGAAACTACCTGTTCAGGGGTCCTAATGTTACTATTTGTAATAGAGAAAATTAGTTGGTTTGGAGGTGGATTTAGTTACCATTTAAATTTGTCTTAAACTGATCAAAATTTCACTTTTACTCACTGTGACTCTTGCATTTCTGAATAGTGAGTTTGATGAGTACCGCAATGCTTTAAAATTCTCCCTGCACCTAGTATTGTTTTTCAGTTTTTAATAGAACACACAGCTTCTCATTGTTAAGATTCAGTGGGGTATGATGCCTTTAAAGATCTGGTTCAGAAATCAATTATATCCTGGGACACAGACAGCTTAATTAATTAAGACCTTTTTCATGTTTCTTTCAGTCTCAAGTTTGTTACTCATTACAGACATTCATTTTGTGCTTATAATTTTAAAAACAACAAAGATAAATCACTCATTAAATCCAATTTCTTTTTAGTTGCATACTAGACTATAAGGCACACTGTGAGTATTCAAAAACACCAACTTCCAAAATATCAGTGTCAAACATTCTTAGGAACTTAACAATTAAACACAACACTGTGAAATTACTTGAAAGTGTGTGCAAATCATGAGGCAGTTTTGCAACTTTTAAAAATGGCTTTTTTATTCCAGATATATTATTCAAATAATTATAATATTACACCAAAAATCCACTACCTCAAAAGTAAACTGGTTTTGAAAAACAAAACTATGGGGATGTTTTAAAAAGGTTAATTTCAGTGGTCGCAGTGCTCTGGGATCTGTGCGGGCAACCAAGGCACAAAAAGATATGAGCACACAAGGAGGGGAGGACTAGAGGAGTGGCCTTATGGGATGCAGCCAACATGGGCCCATCTAATCAACTGCACAGCATTTTTAGACCCAGAAACACTGGAACATAGCCCAGACTGCAAAGCTGCCCACAGTGTCTCACTCTCTGAGCTGGCAGTAGGCTCCCTAATGGGGACACAGACTACTTCGGACTACATTCAGTTCTTCCGCATAGTGAAGACACGGCCCTTCGACTTCACAAAATCGGGTGCCCAGAAATCGACTATAGTAAATTCGACCTTATCTTGTAGTGTAGTTGTGCCCAGTGTGTTTTACTGTTAGTGGGCTGTCAGCCATTTTCGCAGTCATTAGGAAGTTTAGCCCCAGATCAAGAGTAATTGCATTCATAGCATTGCTACTGATAAGAGTTTGAAGTTGGAGAATATAATTTAACTTGTAGCCATAAAAGTGAGTTACAGATCCAAGAGTAAGGGAAAGGCACATACAAATCCAGGACATTACACTGTAATTCTCCAATATGCAACTGTAGTGACTCCTGGATTAAATCAGCACAGGTATATCTTCCCTAAGCAAAGTGAATTTTAATTGTTTTTAGACAGACTGCATATGTTTGTCTGATTACCAACATTTCTAGAACTGGCTTTGGGATGTTCTGAATCTCTTAAAATGAATAGTTCTACTGCCTGTGGGAGAATATAGCCTCCTCCTCACCTGGACTCCTTTCAATTGCAGACTTGTCAGTTTGTTTCAACAGGACAGTGGCATAGGTTTGATTCTCAATATTTTATATTTTAAGATATTTGCTTTTAGCTATTACATTTGGCAGGTTACATTTAAAGTATTTGGTAATAATTATTTAGAAAATGCTTAAATGGAAACTTTGCAAAGGTAATAGCTGAAAGAAACAAACCCTTAAAAATTATACTAAACAAGATTTGAAATTTTTACCAGAGAAGTTAGTGGCTAGAGGACTAAATCTATCAGAGAGAGGACAACACAAAAGATTAGTAAGAGGGCCACCAGCCAGTTCAAAGGGTCCAGTACCTCCACTGCATCTCTTAGCATTCCTGTGCAGCTATATATGACAGGTTCACTTTGGTTACCAGGTTCTGAATAGCAATCCTGAAACTGACCAGTGTTTTGTTATGGTAGAAACGTCTAAGAAAGTTGGAAGTAGTAGTTCTGGAGCACAGATAAGTCAATTTAGACATCATAGAAATGTGGTGCTGGAAGGGACCTTGAGATGTTGAGTGTAGCCTGCAGTTCTGAAGTTGGACAAAGTATATTGACACCATCTCAAACAGGTATTTGTCTAGCCTATGCTTAAAAATCTCTAATGATGAGAATTCCACAATCACCTTTGGAAGTCTTAATTACTTATTAGGAAAACATTTCTAACTGTATATATAACCTGAATCTTCCTTGCTGCAGATTAAGCCCATTACTTCTTTTCTTACATCAGCAGATATGGAATCATAGAATCATAGAACTATAGAGCTGAATGAGACCTCAGGAGGTCATCAAGTCCAGCCCCCTGCTCTAAACAGGACCAATCCCAACTAGATCAACCCAGCCAGGGCTTTGTCAAGCCGAGACTTAAACACCTCTAGGGATGGAGACTACACTACTTCCCTAGTTAACCCATTCCAGTGTTTCACCACTCTCCTAGTGAAATAGTTTTTCCTAATATCCAACCTGGACCTCTCCCACCACAACTTGAGACCATTGCTCCACGTTCTGCCATCTGTCACTACTGAGAACACCCCCTCTTACTCTCAGTAGTGACAGATGGCAGAACGTGGAGCAATGGTCTCAAGTTGTGGTGGGAGAGGTCCAGGTTGGATATTAGGAAAAACTCTCACCCCCTCTTACATGCTTGTGGTATTTGAGTATTATAAGTGTATGTATGAAAAAAAAAAGAAATTTCCTAATTGGATTTTCAGATTACCAAATATAACATTTCTAAAGTAATACTATTCTCTTTACAGTCTTCAAATTAATTAAACAATTATACTTTGTCTATGTTAGAGCCTTGTAAATTCACTTACAACTAGAGTATTAAAATAGTTTATCAAAAATGAATTAAATGAAAGTAGTAGCTATAATCATTTTCTCACATATAACTTTATATTCAGGAATTTCAGATATAAGATAATCTTAGTTTTTCTTTTGCAATAATATATGACTTTGTCCAGAACAGTTAACCATTGTTTCTGTGATAAGATGGAATTCCAATTTTGTAGAGAAAAGTTAAACAGACCAAACATAGTTGCTAGATAAAACTATTACCATTCTGAATGCTTAGTTCACAACTATGGCATCACGAAGAATTCTTGATACTATCTGTGAACAGCATTCATAACCTCTGCTATTTGTCTGAGTAAACGTCAGAGTGCTCAAGGAGAGAGAGATATTAAACAGACTACCTTGCACCAGAAAAGAGGGGTGGGGGAGAAAAGGGCACAATATTTATGAGTCCAGGAACTATAAGTTGTAATTTAATGAGATCAAAGCATTTGCTGTTTATTTGCTGCACTAGCAGCTTTGGATAAACTAGTTAGAAAACAGATAATGATTTTTTTAAGTGCAGGATATTTAAAAGATTATAATGGCTGTAAAATCAAAGGCATATTTAAATGGAAAATCATGTTGTAAAGATTTCTAATATTAAATTAATTTAGTGTTCTCTTGAGATTAAGTAATGTTACAGAGAAAGCAAAGATCCCAAAAATTTAAAGTCAGTTCCTGTTTTTGCCAGATATCCACTGCTCTTTCTTTTTTTCTGCCGTTTCCCAGGAGTACACAGAAGTTGTCACCGGCGTGCTAATGCATATTTCACTCCTGTTGCAGGGCTCTGCGCAGGAGTTCTGTAACACTATCAGCTATAATATCTCAGAGGGGTAGTTGTGTTAGTCTGTAACTTTAAAAACCAATGAGTAGTGCTGTAGCATCTTAGAGACTAACAAAAATACATATATTATCAGGGCTCGACAAATAATACAATCTGCCCATGGCGAGTAGATTGTAATCTGGAAGAGCTGGGTTCAGGCAATCTGTGCATGCGCAGAACGATCTGCGCATGCGCAGATCGCCGGACAGTGTGGCTGGCAAGCGGGACTCGCCACGGTTCGGTGAGCCCTGTATATCATCATAAACTTTCAGGCAAAATTCACTTCCTCAGATGAGGAGAGTGACTCAGCTCATCTGAGGAAACAGGTTTTGCCCACAAAAGCTCATGATACTATATATTTTTTGTTGGTCTCAGGGTACATCTACACAGCAGTGTTATTTCAGAATAACTGACCTTGTGAAATAACACTGTGTGTCTACACTACAAGCTTTTCTTTTGAAATAACATTGAGCTGGATGATTTCGTTAACTAATTCGAACTAAGTTATTTCGAATTAGCGCTGTAGTGTAGACGTACCCTAAGGGAAGTCGAAGGAAGAGTGTTCTTCCTTTGACTTCCTGCTGTGTAGACAGTGCCAAAAGCCATATTAAGCTATTTCAACTTAAGATACGCAATTGACATTGCTCAAGTTGCGAAGCTTAATTCAACTTTAGCCCTTGATATGTAGACATAACCTAAAGTGCTTAAGGCCTACTTATTATTAACTATAGTGTAACTCTAGTACTTCTAATACATTTCTAATAGGGAGAGGCAGTACCATTATTTATATAATCCCTCTAAGTAGTGTAAAAAGCATCAAGTCATCTGACAGTTGGAACAGTCATTACTATTAATTTAATGTATATGACTTAATTTCATTTATTTTGTTGTTTATGTACTTTTTTTAAACAAAGGCCATGAATCAGAATAGTGTAAAGATTTGTCTGTTTTGAGTCCCAGTTCTAATACTGGATGAATTATTTATGCATGTTTCCTGTGTTAAGGAACTGAAGAAAATAACTACAGACTTGATAAGGTCCAAGGTCATGTGTCAGTACAAGGTGGGAGAAGAAAACATCAATCTTACAGCAAAGGAACAGCAGATACAAGAACTACAACAAAAAATCAGAACGGTATTCAAGAACTTCTTAAAATTTGTTGGCAAACGTTTCTTATTGCTCATTTTAAAAACAGGGTTCTAATGATTTCCAAAGATGCATACATATTGCTATACTGAATATATACCCTGACAATTATATAATTATAAATACTATATTTCCAATCCAATTTCTTTCAAGGACTAAATTTCATTCAATAGCCTTAGAGAAGGTTGAAAAATGATGTTAATGTAATTTTTAAAAAATGTATTATTGTTTAATATTAAAGATGGTTGTATAATATTTTCCTATGTTACTTAGTGTTCACTATATTTTTTGTTAAGGAAACAGAGATTAATAAAAAGCTCAGTGAAGAAAATGCACACATTAAAGAAGAGAAACAGGTGAGTGGTTGATGCAATTTTTCTGATTAAAGGTGATTAATAATTCTTGTGATAAACAGTATCTGGGATTTTTAAAGAAATGTGATAAACTACTAAAATAAACTATTCAGCATTTAATTTTTTCACAATTTAGTATTGATTTTAATAATAAAAACAGGATCATACTGCTTACAGCAAATCAATTAATAGGACAAAAATTCTTTCATTAATTTTCTTTTTCGACATTATATTTCCAAGTCTTCATTTATTTATTTAAATTTCAGGAAAGAGAAATTTAGCATGTCAATAAAATATCTTCTAATTATGTATTCAATAAAGATATGCAGTAAGGATTGTAGAATACTTATTTTATCTTTCTGGACACTCGTACCCAGCAAATTACTTGCACTGGTAGTCCATCCAGTGAAAATTGAGATCATGTGTTAATCATCCAAATAAAATACTCAAATACACATTGGCTGTAACAGCAGTGTACTGCACTATTTTGCAGGATAGTTCATGTAAAAGTAATCTTTTCTTAGGTCATAAAAGACTCACTTCATAGGTCATTAAAACAGGCATGTCAAAAAAATAATGTGCTTGTTCTCAGGGAGGGAGAATACTGACCATATTACCCCTTAAAGAGTGATCTAACTACCATCACAGTCTCAAAAGACTGTGTTTATTCTTTGCATTTTGAAGAATGCTTGCCAGTAACACTAGAAAAAGTAGGTAATGGATGCTTCTAAGGCCAGGTCTACACTAGGGGATAAGTTTGAATTAAGATACACAACTCCAGCTATGTTATTTGTGTAGCTGGAGTCGGCATAACTTAATTCAAACTTTGGCGCCATCCCCATAGCAGGAAGTCAACAAGTCCTCCCATCAACTTCCCTTCTTCTCATAAGGAGGAGGAGGAGGAGTACTGGCATCAACAGGGGCACTCTCAGCATTCAATTTGGCGGATCTTTACTAGACCCGCTAATTGGAACGCCAGAAGATTGACCTCCAGAGCATCGATCTGCAGGTAAGAACAGATGTAGCCTTAAGAGTTTAATTTAATGACTCTCACAACTCTTAAGTGGTACTAAAAACACCCCCAGAGTTATGCTTTCAGTCTGTGTATGTGTATGTTTGTATCATTTGTATGAATGTTCAAGTATTCCCATAAAAAACCTTAAGAGCCTCTTGCCTCCACCCTAAAAAGCCACCATGGCTTTTTAAAAAACAAAACAAAACAAAAACAAAAACAAAAAAAAGCACCCATAAAAGAAACAGAGACAAAAGACGTCATTTTAAAAATTGGAAGTCAAATCCTACTCTGAAAAATAGAAAGGAGCATAAACTGTGGCAAATCAAGAGCAAAATTATAATTAGGTCAGCCAAAAATAAATTTGAAGAGCTACTAGCAAAAGACACAAACTAACCACAGCAAATTTTGTAAATACATGAAAAGCAAGAAGCCTGCTAAAGAATCAGTGGTGCCAGTGGATGATCAAGATGAGCACTCAAGAAAGACAGGGCCATTGCAGAAAAGTTAAATGAATCCTATGCATCTATCTACACTGCAGAGAATGTGAGAGAGATTTTGTCAGACACAAAGATAAGCATAATTTCTTGGGGGAAAAGTCAACATGGTTCCTGTAAAAGGAAATCATGCCTCACCAATATACTAGAATTCTTTGAGGGGACCAACAGGCATGCGGACAAGGAGGATCCAGTGGATATAGTGTACTTAAATTTCCAGAAAGCCTTGGAGAAGGTCCCTCACCAAAGGCTCTTAAGTAAAGTAAATTATCATGGGATAAGAGGGAAGGGCCTCTCCCAGATTGATAACTGGTTAAAAGACAAGAAACAAAGAGTAGGAATAAACAGTCAGTTTTCAGGATGGCCACTAACTAGTGGTGTCCCATAGGACTTTGTACTGGGCTCAATCCTATTCAATGTATTCATAAATAATCTAGAGAAAGGAGTAAACTGTAAGGTGGAAAAATTTGCATACGATACTAAACTGCCCAATATAGAGAGGTCCAAAGCAGACTGTGAAGAGCTTCAAACGGATCTAGCAAAATTAGGTGACTGGGCAACAAAATAGCAAGTGAATTTAAAGTAATGCATATTGGAAAACATAATCCAAACTATATGGACAAAATGAGGGGTCTAAATTAGCTATTACCACTCAAGAGAGAGATCTTGGAGTCATTGTGGATAGTTCTCTGAAAACATCCACTTAATGTACAGCAGCAGTCAAAAAAGCAAACAGAATGTTAGGAATAATTTTAAAAATGATAGTGAATAAAACAGAGAATATCTTATTGCCTCTATATAAATCCATGGTATACCCATATCTTGAATACTGTGTGTAGATATGGTCACCTCCTCTCAAAAAAGGTATCTTGTCATTGGAAAAGAGTAACTAAAAATGATTAGGGGTTTGAAATAGCTTCCATATGAAGAGAGATTAAAAAGACGAGGACTCTTCTGCTGATAAAAGAGGAAACTAAGCTATAGAGATCTATAAAATCATGAGTGGTGTGGGAAAAGTGAATAAGGAAAAGTTATTTACTTGTTCACATAACACAGGAACTAGGAGTCACCAAATACAATTAATAGATAGTAGGTTTAAAACAAATAAAAGGCAGTATTTCTTCATGCAACACACAATCAGCTTTTGGAAATCCTTGCCAGAGGAAGTTGAGAAGACCAGGTTGTTCACAGGGTTCAAGAAAGAACTAGATACATTCATGGAGGCTAGGTCCATCAGTGGCTATTAGCCAGGATGGGTAGGAATGGTGTCCCTAGCCTCTTTGTCAGAAGCTGGGAATGGGTGACAAGGGAAGGATCACTTGATAATTACCTTTTCTGTTCATTCCCTCTGGGGGTGCGTGTACACTACACCATAGGTTGAAATAAGATACGCAGTTTGAGCTACATGAAATTTGGTGCTGTCTGCACAGCACTTATTTCAATCTAGTGTAGTGTACAGTTAGTGGACTTAGTTTTACAGGAACGTTGGAATAGTGGGCCCATTATATTTCAAAATAACAGGCATGCTCGAAAGACGTGTTATAGCTATTTCAGGATATCCCAAAATAGCACCCCAAGTGTAGACATAGCCTGGGACATTTGGTATTGGCCACTATCAAGACAGGATACTGGGCTAGAAGGACCTTTGGTCTTACTCAGTTTGGACATTCTTATGTTCATATGAGGAAAGATTAAAAAGACTGGGACTGTTCAGCTTAAAGAAGAGCAACTGAGAGGGATATGATAGATGTTTGGAAATCATGAACAGTGTGGAGAAAATAAATACCAGCAGGTTTAAAATAAATATAAGGCAGTACTGCTTCACACAGCACATAGTCAACTTGTAGAACTCATTACCAGGGAATGCTGTGAAGGATGAAAGTATAACTGATTTTAAAAAAAAAAGTTTCAGAGGGGTAGCCGAGTTAGTCTGTAACAGAAACCCACTTCTTCAGATGACAGGAGTATTAGAAGTTCAGATCCAAGCATAAATAAGGGAAGGGGGGGAGAAAGAAAAAAGAGAAGAAAAAAAAAGGAGGTGAGTAAAAAAAGAGAGAGAGTGAGTAGATAGTTCAAATAGTTACAAGAGACTGATAAGAACAATTAGCACCTCCATTGCTAGGTTGCTTGGTTAAGTCATTAGGATGTGGAAGATAGTGTGTGAGCCAGCCAATATCCCAGTTCATACCGTTTGCATAAGAATTAAACTTGTGAATGAAGATAAGATCCAATTCTTCTCTGTGAATTTGGCTTGTTGAATTGGCATGAAACAAATCAGTGACTTGGAGATCCATTAATGAGTGTCCAGGCAGATTAAAGTGTTCTCCAACAGGTTTTTGTGTATTGCTTTTTCAGATATCTGATTTGTGTCCATTAATTCTTTCCCGTAGAGCAGTGGTCCCCAATGCGGTGCCCGCGGGCGCCATGGTGCCCAGCAGGGCATTTATGTGCACCCACCGAGTGATAGGGGCCAGCCCTTCCGTGAGCGCGTGACGCATGCACAGTGCCGGCCCCGCGATGAAAGGTTGGGGACCACTACCGTAGAGACTACCCAGTTTGGTCAATATACATTGCAGTGGGGCATTGCTGGCATAGATCACATTAGTGGATGTGCAGTTAAAATGAGCCTCTGATTTGGTGGCTGATGTTGGGTCCAGTGATGAAATCATTGGTGTAGATGTGTGGGCAGAGCTGGCACTGGGGCTGATTGTAGGGGTAGGTTCTTGGATGATGATGATGATGATGGAAGTGTGTTGCGTGGTTACTAGAAAGAATTTGTTTGAGGTTAGGAGGTTGTCTGAAGGCAAGAAAGTGAAAAAAGTGATTAGTTCATGGATAGGTTAATTGATAACTATTAGCCAAGATGGTCAAGAATGCAGTGCTATGCTTGGTGTCTCTAAACGTCTGACTGCTAGAAGCTGGGCCTATATTACAGAGAGTAAATTACTCAAATTGCCCAGGTCTAGTCATTCTCTCTGAAGCATGTGGCACCAGCCAGTGTTGGAAGACATATGGGCCAAGAGGCACCATTAGTCTGACCCCGGCTGGCTATACTTATGTTGGACAGTACCCACTTGTTATGGGATGTTAAAATATTTTCAGTTTTTGCTTTTTGCCACATATGTTTTAAATTGTTATTTTGCTTGTTTAGGATTTTTTTGTTTATGTTTTTTGTTTTTGTTTTTTGTTGTTTTGCGGGTTTTGATTTTTTTTTTGTCTTGGAACAAATCTCAAAAATAGGAGAAATCTTTCTTGATCACAGGATGAGATATATACTTTTACCTCACATTTTCTCTAGGAACTTGTGTTAGAAATCTTGTTTCATCGTATTCATATACATAAAGCTGACTTCAGTCAGCATTGGATGAGCCCTTACGCATTATCTAGGTTATTATGACAAATTATACTACGTATAAGTGGAAGGGCACTGTTGCTTAATGGATAGAGCACTGCACTGGACTTAGGAGCCTTGGGTTCTTTTCCTGACTCTTCCATCAGTCTACTGGTTGATTTTGGCTAACTCATGTCATCTCTCTGTGCCTCATTTTTCTCATCTTTAAAATGGAGATGATGGTATTGACTTTCCTTTGTAAAGCACTTCGTAAAGCGCTTTTAGAATACACAGTACTACACAGAACCTAAGTGCGAGTTATGAGGTCCTCACCATCATGAATATTAAATACCTAAGAACCACATTTAAAATTCTATAGAATGGTGAGTAGATAACTTTGAGTATGTCTGTGAAGTCAATGGAATGTTTGTGTGAGTAGCTACTCCCCACTGTCAGGAAAGGATTCACAATCTAGCCCTAAATTAATCTCAAAATTTAAAAGTATGTGTTATATTCGTTCCAATGAGCCTATCATTGTAGTATCATATGGGGATATACCCCCAAAAGCTCAAATTCTAGTTGTAAAGTCTGATAAGCCTAAACTGTATTCCAGTATTGATATTCATGTCAGCATACACCATTACTGTGTGTAAATTCCAGCCCAGTAGAGTCTACATTCAGAAGATGGAGAATAGTTTTCAGGGCATTCAAAACTGTAAAGTGCAGACTGAATATGGCACATTTAAACATGTCTTGTTCAGATAGGCCAAGGACGGTTACTGAACTGTTTGCTAGGTGGTGTCATACCTTGAAAAGAACATTACTATTATGCTGTTACACAGAAAAAAAGCAGAGTAGTTGAGTTGATCTTGTCTTCCACCAATCTCCTTCCAAAAACTGATGATGCTAATAATTTAAAAAGAGAAAGTGATATTAATATAAAGTATGTAATTTATTGGCTGAATAAAGAACACGTGTTAATCAAAAATATAAAGTATTTGTAAAACTTCCATTATTTTCATGCTCAAACTAGATTATTTAATATACCATGACTTATTTTCAAAAGGAGATTGTCAGTTCTCTACAACATATGCAGCAGCTACTTCAGAGACTGACCCAAATGAATGTCAGAATGGAAAGCGAATTGAATGCACTAAAAGAAGAAAATCAGGTTAGTTTTTTCTTCATTATATAATCTGCTACTACCTGCTGTATACTTTTGAAGAGTGTAGGGCTGTTAAAGACAGAACTTTTGACCTCCTGTCTGCTGGCCCCTCAGCTCTTTAACTGTCAGTACAAATCTTGAAACACACTTTGTAGTTCCTGGTCCCTAAACTCTTCAAAGAAAAAAATGGGTGCCATTTTTTCTCAGTTTGTTTCTGGAGGATAAAGCAAACTTTAAGTTACCCTCAAGATTGTTGTTTTAATTACGTAATTTTTTTCTTTTATGATTTGTGGGGTTTTTTGGGGTTTTTTTTGGAAACTTATAGCTCTGAAAATCAAAGGGGCATGATCCTGTGCTCAATTTCAGCAGGGCAAAAAGGCTGGCATAAGCAGGCTCATATGCAGTGTGAGGGGAAGGGTCTCCACAGCTGCTTTCCTGGTGGTCCATAGCTCAAGCTCAGCCCTTCCCTCCTGAAGCAGGGAGCCCACGCTGGCCCTCCAGCCTCTCGCTCCCACGAGGTTGGAGTGCCATCGTTGGCTTCCCATGGTGGGGGAGAGAAAAGGCCTCAAGCCTTGCTGAGCTATCTAGCTTGCAGTGAAAAAGTGTTTGCACTCCCCTGGTGGGAGAACAGCAGCGCATGGATGCGTTCCTTGGAGGCTTTCCCTGCTGTTCCCATAGGCCAGAATCTGGCCAATGGGAGCACCAGGAGGTAGAGCCTGAGACTAGCACAGGACATGAAGGCAAGTGCCCCCTCACCCTCTCATGCCCAGACCCCCATACCACCAGCCCCCTCACTCATACCCCCTGCCAAACTCCGCATCCTCAGCCCACTCCTACACCCACCCCCCTAGCCAGACACTCTACTTCTAGCCCACTCCTGCACCCTCCATCCTGGTTGGACACCTTAACCCAGTCCATGCCAGCAACCTCTCCTCTGGCCAGATACTCTACCCCCTAGTGAGTTCCTGCAGCCTCCCTCCTGGCCAGACACCCTCCCCCCTGCCCTCCCCCCAGTCTGCTCCTGAATCTACTCTTGTTCCTGCACCCTCCCCACTGGCCAGACACTCTACTGCCATCCTACTCCTGCACCCTTCCCTGTTCCTGCATCCTCCCCCTTGGCCAGATGCCCTACCCCCTGCCTACTCCTGCAACCACTCTTCCTCCTGCACCCTTTCTCCCATCCAGACTTCGCACCCTCACTCGCTCCTACATCCTACCTCTCGTCAAGATTCTGCACTCCCATTCCTCTTGCTTGCAGCCCTGTCCCACACACTGAACCCCCCATTTTTTGTCCCAATCCCACAGCCTAGGGGGTCCACAAAATCCACTAACCCTGGAATCCCAGAAAAGTAATTCTGGCTTATGGGAAGCCCTGAACTTGAGTCCTCCCTGTTCTTCTCCCTCCCCGCAGTGGGACTGGAGTGTCAGAGGAGTGAAATGTCTCAGTTGGTGGCCACATCAGTGAGGGTTGGGTGGTTTTTGAAAGTTTTTGCTTCTCACACAAGTTGTCCCCTGATTTTTCTGTGGGTCAGTGGCCGCCAACCGTAAAAAGGTTCCCCACCCCTGCCATAAATAAAGAAAACATGGGAACCTTTTGTGTTGGACATAAATGTTTTACTTTATTTAAAATTAAGTTTGATAAACTAATATAAGAAAGTTTAAGCACTTAGTCTGTTTAATATTTTAAATTAATATTTCCACTGCTTAAATTAAACCGTTCTCCTTAGAAGCACTAGCAAAATGGCTCAGGTGTAATTATGTAATTAACATCCAGTTTCCATTAGCAACTTGTGGTCCACAGAAAGGTTTGCATTGAATTGGCTCAGGTGTAATTATGTAATTAACATCCAGTTTCCATTAGCAACTTGTGGTCCACAGAAAGGTTTGCATTGAATCAGGTGGGCCATGGGCTAAAAAGTTTGAGAAACAGTATGTTAGGTAGCTGGGAGAGTGCAGTGTTGGGATGGGCGGGCAGGGCTCATGGCAGCGTAGCAGGGCTAGGGAAACGGTGCCCCCCACCTGCAAGGAGCAGCCCGGGCCCAGCCCCATTGGCCACACTCATCTAGCACTGGCCTCGCTGATCAGGTAGAGCAGCACTAGGCAGAGGCAGCCGAGGGAGCAGGGGGCCATGGCAGTCACACTGCCGACCATGATCCCAGAAAGTAATGTCTATAAAACCCTTTCATCTAGAAACAAGAGGAAAGAGAGACTCATAGACTTTAAGGTCAGAAGGGACCATTATGATAATCTAGTCTGACCCCCTGCACAATGCAGGCCACAGAATCTCACCCACCCACTCCTAGAATAATCCTTTCACCTATATCTCAGATATTGAAGCCTTCAGACAGTTTGAAGATCCCAAGATGCAGAGAATCCTCCAGTTGTGATCTGTACCCCATGCCTCAGAGGAAGGCGAATCTATCACTGTATAAATTTTTAGTATGTTATAACAAAATCATTTTACAAATCACTGTTTCCACTCCAATTTTTCATTAACCTCTCTTATACACACTTACTGCATGACTATTTTGAACCTCTTTATATTTAAAAAAATGATGGTCCACAGTTCCAAAAAAGGCACCTCCCCTCACAGAAATTCCTGCATATAGGCTTAATAAGGACATCCCAAGCATAATGCCACCTTCCCTCATCCTCCATGACACAGGCTGCATGATAGGAGAAGTGAAGGGGAAAGCCAGAGTATGCTGAATTTGACATAATTAAGCTACCTCCAATGAGTGGCGGTAGCTATGTCTACAAAAGAGCTTTCCTGTCAACATAGAGAGCATGAGTGGTTTTATAGCAGGGCAGCTGTATCATTGCAGCTGTGTTGCTGTAAGCTTTCTAGTGTAGATACAGGCAGTCCCTGGGTTACGTACAAGATAGGGACTGTAGGTTTGTTCTTAAGTTGAATTTGTATGTAAGTCGGAACTGGTACATATTGTAGGGGAAACTCTAGCCAAACATTTATCCAGAGCTCAGTTTTATTCTCCCACACCTCACTTCCCTCAGTCCTTTATTCTCAAGTTGAGGTGTCTGCTGAGAAAAGCCGCTCCGTGTCTCCCTGGTCTGCTGGGGGGAAGCAGCTAGTGTGGGGTTGCCTCACCCCGTTTGTAAGTAGGGATCCGATGTAAGTCGGATCCATGTAACCCGGGGACTGCCTGTATAGCCTATCTTTCTAAAGGTGTTTAGAACCACTTACATATGTAAAGGGGATTGCACAGTGAACAAAAAGCTCAGATATTGCCTAACTTCTAACTTTTAGTAGCAGAAAATCTCCAAGGGCCTACCTGCCCTGGAGCATTGATAGGGATTCCACCTGAAGATGAAGGAGAAATAATACATTTCTGGATGAACTGTAAAAGCAAATCCAGCTCCCCGACAATATGGCTACGTCTAGCCTGGCCCCTTCTTTGGAAGAGGCATGCTAATTTCTAACTTTGGAATAGGGAAATCCACGGGGGGATTTAAATATCCCCCGTGGGATTTAAATAAACATGGCCGCCGCTTTTTTTCCGGCTTGGGGAAAAGCCGGAAAAGAGCGTCCAGACTGGCGCGATCCTCCGGAATAAAGCCCTATTCCGGAGGATATCTTATTCCTGACTTGAAGTAGGAATAAGAGATCCTCCGGAATAGGGCTTTATTCCGGAGGATCGCGCCAGTCTGGACGCTCTTTTCCAGCTTTTCCCCAAGCTGGAAAAAAAGCGGCGGCCATGTTTATTTAAATCCCGCGGGGGATATTTAAATCCCCCGCGCATTTCCCTATTTCAAAGTTCTAAATTAGCATGGCTATTCCGAAGAAGGGGCCAGTGTAGACGTAGCCTATATGTTTCTATTAAAAAATCAAAACCCCCACAACTTTCAAAACTGGATTTTGTTGGTATCCTAGTTGAAAGGCTCATCAAAGAGGCTAAGGAGTGACTGGAGCTTAAACTTTCCCCTCACCTTCTACATACCATCACTGATGCGAGTAGAACTTATGTTGCTCTGGGGTGTGTTTTTTTCAGCAACATAAGTTTTGCTGCCATAAGTGATAGTGTAGACATGGCTTTAGTCACAAATCATAAATTTTCTTTGGTGATTCTTTTTTCTTTAATAAAAACATCTTATTTTCCGTGTGAAATCTCCTGCTACTAAATCAATCTCTTAGAGTAGAACAAAAGTTTCCAAGTTTTAATAACTGTCCATCATTATACCTTGGTGAGAGGTACATTCCTGCGAGATATGCAATTTACAAGTCATTCCCAAGCAGAACACAGAAACTGGTTTTGCTGGAGAGACTGATACATTCCTCTTCATGCCCTGGAGTAGGCAGGAATGAAAACTCTAAGCAATCCTTCTCAAAAAATGATATGGTCAGCTCTGCAACTTGTAACTATGTCTACACTGCAGAGTTTTTTCAGAAAACCAGCCACTTCTGTTTCTTCCGAAAGAAGCCTGCAGTCTAGGGGTATGTCTAGACTACAGGGTTTTGTCGACAGAAGTTTTGTCAACAGATACTGTCGACAAAGCTTCTGTCAACAAAGAGCGTCTAGACTGCAGCCAGTTCTGTCGACAAAGCAAGCCGCTTTATCGACATAACAGTGTGGACGCAAAGGACAGTGTAGATGCAATAATGCCTTCTATCGACAGAACTCTGTCAACAAAAGGCGTTATTCCTCGTAGAATGAGGTTTACATACGTCGACAAAACTGCTGAGTTTTGTCGACATAACTCAAAGGCAGTGTGGACGCAGGTATAGTTTTGTCGACAAAAGTCCACTTTTGTCGACAAACCCCTGTAGTCTAGACACACCCTAGATGTAGTCTAAGGGTCACATCTCTAAAATATTCTCCTCTTCAACTGGTAGAACTTCTGATGTCAGGGGAAAGAAAGGAACATTGCTCCCCTAAGGGGCATAAATCCAGGTTACCATCAACTTGTCCTAACTCTAAGAGGCAGAATTCCTCTTACTCTGCCACACAAAAGGGTAGCTCAGGGCCTAGGAAGGGTCCATCTGGCACTTATTCAGGCACTGGTCATTTTATCTGCTGTATCTGTTGCAGAACGTCATTGTGTGGCTACCATCTGAGTGTTCCCTTGCGACTTTAAAGTGGCCCTGCAAATGACCCTGCCTCGGTTTTTCCCTTCCATAGAGATCTATTTACTCCCCATCAACTGGACTTTGAGTTTGATTATGGATGCTTCTGCCCTAGGTTGGGGAGGCACCAGGGATCTCTGTAGATTCAAAGGCTAAGGTCTGGCCAGGATTTTGTTCTCCACATTTGCCTAGCTTGCCAATCGTTCCTTCCCCATATTTAAGGGAATTAATTTACTATATTTATGGACAACAAGCACCCATGTTCTGTTTGAACAATCAGAAAGGGGCCAGATACACCGTTCTTTGCCAAGAAGCAACACTGCTTTGGGACTTATATGTAACCAACTCAATCAGTCTCAAAGTCCCCCACCTTACAGGTGCCTAGAACAGTCTGGCAGATCTGCTGAGCAGGTCTTTCATCAGTTACCATGAGTGGTGTCTCTGCCTAGATATAGGCAGAATCATTGTCCAGATGTGGGAGGAGGGGGTTCTGACACATAGACCTGTATGCAACCTGCATCAACAAGAAGTGTCATCCATTTTGTTCTTTGGCAGCTTAAGGTCTCTGATGGGTGCTTTCCTGTTTCCCTGGAAATACCAACTCATGTACAACATATCCTCTGTTTCTGCTCCTACACAGTGTTGTTAAAAATCAAGCAGAACCATGTTTGAGTGATATTGCTTTGTATTGCTGTGTATTGCTTTTCCACTACTGAGCCTCTCAACTTCACTGACACTACCACAAGACCCATATCTGATATTATACGGCCACAGCTATAGAGGTGGTCCTTCATAGAGCCTGGATACTCCATGGTCAACACCTCAGGAGGAGATCTGTTCAAAGGAGGTACAAAGTATCATCTTGAAGCCTTAGACTAGGTAGTTTTAACTGTTGAAATGAAAGTCTCTCTGTCAGGTCCAGTTAGGGGTTTTCAATACAACACATGCTAGACTATTTGTTATGCCTGAAACAGCGAGGTCTTACCCTTAGTCTTGCCAGGGTTCCACTATCAGCTATCTTGGTTTTTTACCCCTTGATTAACATATGGATGGAGAAACAAGAGTGATTATCAGATTTCTGAAGGGTCTGGATCAGTTATATCCCAAGGAGAGAATCCTATTACCCTGGTGATTTAAATTAGCACTGGCAAAACTAATGGCTTCACTGTTTCTTCGAGAGAGAGATGTCCCTGGGGGTGCTCCACAGCAGGTGTCTGTGTGTACCAGCGCTGCAGAGCAGATTCTTCCTAGCAGTGCATTGAGGGTCATGCATGCACAGCATGTGAGGTGCACGGCACCATCTGGCACTGTCACACATGCACAGCCACCTTTCCCTCAGTTCCTTCATCCCGTCCTCAGCTCATCATTCCTCAGTAGTTCTGTGTAGATAAATAGATTAGTTAACTCCAAATTCTTCTCTCTAGTTGTTTAACAAATTCTTCACCAAAAAAACCCAAACCCCATGCCATTTGTCCCGAAGTTGGTTCTCTCACCACTTAAGATCACCCACCTGGGATGATGGGCTCACCGTTCCACAGACTACAATGAGACAATGCTGGCCTCAGACGGCCACGCAAAATGCATCAAGTTTCTTGGGAACTCCCATGTTCAACAGGACTGCCCACACTGTGCTAAACTTAAGGCGCAAACGCAGAGAGACAGATCTCCATTTAAAAATGCTCATGATTGAGAAGGGCAAACACCCTTCCTCAGACCTGGGTGCTCAGCAGATTGCCAATAATAAGGGGGACAAACCCAAGGAATCCCCAAACAAATGTGCTGCCTCTCTGCCATAAGACCTGCAGTCGCCTAAACGACATTCGACCAACAGGAAGGGGAAAAAAGCTTATGATTCATGCCCCAGCACTTACGATAAGCCATGCACCTTTGGTGCTGACTGAGCTCCCCACAAACGCGCCTCACACGATGCCTACACAGAATCTACAGGCCATTCAGTGCCTGCCTCAGAGATGTTGGCACTGAGTACAGCGCCAAACAGTGCACCACTTGAGATCATAGTGCCAAGAGTGCTTACCACAGCACCACAACATCTGATGGTGCAGGCTATCAGCACTGTCCAGCCATTGCTGATCACAAAGCTGTGAGCTCTGGGCCTGGAATACCACCAGCACTGGCGCCAAGTGCAACATCACTAGCCTTGGTGCTGTTTATTTCCACTATTAGCTTCTGGCATCAGAGACACCTTGTGGTCTTATCAACTTTTAACTTTCCATTATTAAGCACCAACAAACTATCTTACTCAGCACCATCCAAATACACATCACCTACTTTGTTATCAAGTGACGACGATGAGGAGCTGGGGTTTTTTCACCCCAGCTGTCACCATGCACAGAAAAATCAAGACACTCATCCCATGCCAACTTTGCCTCACCCTACCAGGATGGGCATGGCCCCCAGGGCTCCATACCCATGGATACCACCACCCATGCTTTATCCACAGCAATGGCAATATTGGAGTCCATGACCTCATGTAGCTGCTTCTCGCTCGCCACAGTGCCACCTGCTGTCGGGTTGGGGAATTAGACGTGCTGGCAGGTGGCGGGATCCTTTCAGGACACTGCCCTCCGGCAATGTCCACAACAGCCTAAGCTTTCCCCCCCTTCCGGGGGAGTGTGATAGGCCGGTAGGCCTTCAGGAGGCGGTACCCCCGTCTCCGGCACGGGGTGATACGCCTGTCCTATTGCGCTACCGTGCCTTACAATAGTCCAGGGCAGCGAGTTTATTCCCGGCCTTGCTTCAGGTCGGGATTAAAAGGCAATAGTTTGCGCGCCCGGCCTTGCTTCAGGCCCGGGCCGTTGGGGAATAAGTTCAAACACACACAAGTTTGTAGAAGCTCCTAGTTCTGGAGCGAGGCCGGTAGTGCACCCGCAGCAGCGGTGAGGGGGAGACTGCCACCTGATGAGTGGGTGGCAGGGGGGCGCAGGCCCACCCACTACATTGCACCCCAGCCCAGGGGCCCTAGATGCAGCCGTGCAGCTGCGACTGGCTCAGCAGGGCTCCCGCCCACAATTTGCTGGCCGAGGGCTGCTCTCAGCCCGTGCTATCCCCTGGGCCACTTCTCATCTCCCCCTTCCCCGGTACCTGTACCTCCCGCAGGTCCGCCAGGGAGTTGAAAGCGGTGTTGTCCCAGCAGGGTCCGGGCAGCTCGATCTAGGGGTCAAGAGGTTGAAGCTCTGCAGCGTCCTGCGGGCTCGTCTGGGCCCGGGGTTCCGGCAACCATCAGGGTTCCAGCTGGTCCACCGGCTCCGGCCAACAGGCTGGGGCCAGATCTGCTGGCTGGCTTGGCCAGGTCTCTGTAGCTCTGGCAGGGAAGCCTTGGCTAGCCTTCGGGGTGGCCGCTGAGAGAGGCCTAGGCCAGGTCTCAGCCTCCCGCAGTCTTCTTATAGTCCTAGCCCCGCCCCTTAGCTTCTGGTCAGGTGAGAGGGTGGGGCTAGGCTGGGCCCAAAATGGCTCCCAGAGGGGTTTCTCCACCTCTGGCTCAGTGGGTGACCACTCCACCCCACTACACCTCAACATCACAAAAAGAGACAGACTCCTGTCCCAATCCCCTTTAACACAGAGGAAACAGAATGAAATTGATGAACCAACTTAGGTCAGAATGCATTATTAGACACAAACTCACCATCTGTGACAGACGAGGCTATCATGCCATTGCCCTCGGCAACTACTGAAGATTTCATCCCTTTTCAGGAACTTTTTAAGAGAGTCGCAGCTGACCTAAACATTGCGATGGAGGAAGTGCAGGACACACAACATGAGCTTACCAGCATACTGTAGGCTACACCTTCCTCAAAAATTGCCTTGCCTATCAACTCAATTATCATGGAACCTACCAAAATCTTTTGGACAATCCCTGCCTCAATTCCTCCCACCTACAAAAAGGCAGACCGAACTATTAAGTCTCCCCCAAAGGGGTCAGAGTTTTTATTTATTCATCCACCATCTTTGACGTGGTGCAGTAAAGAAATAAACAACAGCAAAACCATTCCACACCATCCAACAGAGATAATAAAAGACTTGACACGCTTGGTAAAAAGGCGTACACCTCAGCGCCATATTACAACTAAGAGTGCCCAATTATGCTGTGCTCCTCAGTAAATATGATTTTAACAGTTACACAAAGTTTAATACTTTTATTTAAAATATACCAGAGGCGAAAAAGACACAGCTTAGAACAGTCATCGCAAAGGGCCAGGCAATATCTAGGACAGCCCTTCAAGTTGTCCTAGATGCAGCAGAGACGGCCACAAGGGCAACAGTTTTGACAGTTGTCATGAGACGGGCTTCATGATTCAATTCCTCTGACTTCCCTCGAGAAATCCAGTCATCTGTGTTAGATCTACCATTTGAGGGTGAAAAGCTCTTTTAATCTAAAACCAACAATGTCCTCCATTCCATGAAAGACTCCCAGGCCACACTAAAATACCTTGGCATCCAGACATCTGCAACAAGGAGAAGGCAATATAGATACCAACCATACCAGAGGCCGAGATATCAGCAGTTCATGTACCGATACCAAAGGCAAGAGCATCCACCACACCAACAATGTGGCCATGGCAGACAGCAGCGTCGACACAATCAGGGCAATGCTTCCAACCATCTGCCTCAGCCCAGTAAGCACGTTTGAGGTGTCGGTTGAGAAACTGAAAAGCACCTCAACTTCTCCAGAGCTCCCAACACTAGGAAATCTTTCACCTATCATCTTTTGCCATTCTGTGACAAATGGCGCAATATTACATCTGACAAATGGGTGCTACAATTTCATTTGGATACACCATCACATGCATGTCCATCCCTCCATTCCACCTACCCACCCCATTCCTCTTCAGGGACCCCTCTCATGAGACTATATTACAACAAGAAATAGATCACCTTCTACAATTGGGTTCTATAGAACCTGTTGCCCCAGAATATCAGAGGACTGGGTTTTATTCTCATTGCTTCCTCACTCAGAAAAAAACCTGGAGGTTGGTGTCTATTTTGGATCTGAGGGCCCTGAACAAATTCATAAAGAGGCAAAATTTCAAAATGGTTACATTATCCACCATTATCCCCTCTCTGGAGTTCCGTGATTGGTTTTTGTCTCTCAAATTACAAGACACGTATTTTCATGTGTCTATTCATCTTGCTCATAAATGGTTTCTCTGTTTCACCATAGGTACGCAACACTACTAATATATAATTCTACCCTTTGGACTTTCCACAGTTCCAAGGGTTTTCTCCAAGATGCTAGCAGTGGTTATGACCAACCTCAGCAAACAGGATATTACCGTATATCCATACCTTGATGATTGCCTTATCAAGTCAAGAACTCAAGACAAATCCTATCTCTGCACCCATCTAGTACTTCAGTGTTCCAGTTGCTGGGACTCTAATCAACAAGAAGAATTCTTACAGCAACTCAGTCAATACAATCTATCAGGGCGCACCTCAATTCTGCCTCAGACACTGCCTCTTGACAGATTCCTAAAGATCCACAAGCTAGTCTAATCACTCCCCATAATGCCACGCATCACAGTCCTCAACTGTTTACAACTCCTAGGACACATGGCATCCTGCAACTCTGTAGTCCCCAATGCCCATCTATTCATGAGGTGCCTCCAGGGATGGCTCAGATTGAATTACAAGCCCAGTCTACTCTCCCTGACCAAAACACTGTCAGTCTCCAACACAGTAAAAAGCGCAATTCCATGGTGAACAAAGCTGTACAATTTATGCAGGGGCATACCCTTTCAAACCTCAGAACCCACAGTGGTCATCACGATGGATGCTTCCATCACAGGTTGGGGAGCACACATGAGACACCTCACAACCCAGGGCCTATGGACTCTGGCAGAGAAGAAGTTACATATCAATGTCCTTGAGCTCAGAGTCATTCAGTTTGTGTGCCAACATTTTGTACCTCACATCACCGGAAAGCACATGAGGATATATACCAACAATATGACCTGTATGTTTTATATAAACAGACAAGACAGGGCATGATCTCACACCCTATGCACATAAGCCATAGCACTTTGGAATTGGTGCCTCACTCATGGCATCTGCATAAGTGCATGTCATCTTCCCGGCACCCTAAATATCACAGCTGATGCCCTAAGCAGAGCTATACCACAAGATCATGAGTGGAAGATCAGTCCTTAAGTTCTAACAGAGATATTTGCACAGTGGGGATAACTTCACATAGACATATTTGCCACCAGAACAAATAAAAAGTGCCCACTTTATTGCTCCAGAGTGAGCATTGGAAAGGACTCTTCGGAGACGCTCTTATCCTCAAGTGGGACCATCACCTGCTCTATGCATTCCCTCCCTTTCCCCTCCTCAATGGGGTACTCATCAAAATACGGAGGGAAAAAGCTATTATCTTAATAGCACCTTGTTGGCCTTGACAACCATGGTTTCCTTTCCTGAACAGAATGACCCTACATCACTCGATCACACTCTCATGCAACTGAAGCATATTATTCCAACCAGGAACTGAAGCTCCCCATCCACAATTTCTCACACTTCACCTCAAGGCATTGTACTTCAATGGTTCACGAGCATAGAATTACAATGGTTCAGACCATGTACGGGAGGATCTCCTCCACAGCAAGGCCCCTGCAATGAGGAAGACATATAACAACAAATGGTCTTGTTTTGTACATTGGGCTGCTTCCCATACCATATCGCCAGAGGAAGCCCCCCTACCTGCAATCCTTGAATTCTTACTGCACCTTAATCAATCTCACCTTTCCATGAGCTCAATTAGAGTACATCTCACAGCAATAACAACGTTCCACATGACCATTGCTGACACCACGGTCTTTGCACATTCCACAACCAAACACTTCCTCAAAGGCCTACACGCATTATAGCCTGATGTTACTGCTCCACAGGCACCGTGGGACCTAACCAAGCTCACAAAACCTCTATTCGAACCTATGGCCACATACTCCCTTCTCCACTTAACACTCAAAATAGTATTCCTAGTCAGGGCCGGCTTTAGGAAGTGCAGGGCCCAATTCGAACAGTTTTGGCGGGGCCCCACTACCCAGGCTTTTTGTTGAGCACACGCACACCCACACAACAAACCACAACCACATACAAATACCACATCAGAAGTAAATCTGATCAAAATGTATATCAATATAGTTGAACATTTAAAAAAAAAATACCATCCTTTATTATGCAAAATTTTACACAAAATTAAATCAGTTGCCTTAACTGTAGGTCAAATATTTTTAATTGCAAACTATCCAATCTTTTCAATAAAGTTTAAAGTTTGATTTTTAAAAAGTTACCAGAGAGCGTTGCAGTTTTCTGTTACATTTCAGGACACTGCCCTCCGGCAATGTCCACAACAGCCTAAGCTTTCCCCCCCTTCCGGGGGAGTGTGATAGGCCGGTAGGCCTTCAGGAGGCGGTACCCCCGTCTCCGGCACGGGGTGATACGCCTGTCCTATTGCGCTACCGTGCCTTACAATAGTCCAGGGCAGCGAGTTTATTCCCGGCCTTGCTTCAGGTCGGGATTAAAAGGCAATAGTTTGCGCGCCCGGCCTTGCTTCAGGCCCGGGCCGTTGGGGAATAAGTTCAAACACACACAAGTTTGTAGAAGCTCCTAGTTCTGGAGCGAGGCCGGTAGTGCACCCGCAGCAGCGCCCTTCCGGGGGAGTGTGATAGGCCGGTAGGCCTTCAGGAGGCGGTACCCCCGTCTCCGGCACGGGGTGATACGCCTGTCCTATTGCGCTACCGTGCCTTACAATAGTCCAGGGCAGCGAGTTTATTCCCGGCCTTGCTTCAGGTCGGGATTAAAAGGCAATAGTTTGCGCGCCCGGCCTTGCTTCAGGCCCGGGCCGTTGGGGAATAAGTTCAAACACACACAAGTTTGTAGAAGCTCCTAGTTCTGGAGCGAGGCCGGTAGTGCACCCGCAGCAGCGGTGAGGGGGAGACTGCCACCTGATGAGTGGGTGGCAGGGGGGCGCAGGCCCACCCACTACATTGCACCCCAGCCCAGGGGCCCTAGGGAAGCCTTGGCTGACCTTTGGGGAGGCAGCTGAGGGAGGCCTAAGCCAGGTCTCAGCCTCCCCAGGCAGGAGCTCTGGACAGCCTCCTTCTCCTTCAGAGGCTGGCCCCTGACTGAGCTCCCCGGCAGTCTTCTTATAGTCCTAGCCCCGCCCCTTAGCTTCTGGTCAGGTGAGAGGGTGGGGCTAGGCTGGGCCCAAAATGGCTCCCAGAGGGGTTTCTCCACCTCTGGCTCAGTGGGTGACCACTCCACCCCACTACACCTCAACATCACAAAAAGAGACAGACTCCTGTCCCAATCCCCTTTAACACAGAGGAAACAGAATGAAATTGATGAACCAACTTAGGTCAGAATGCATTATTAGACACAAACTCACCATCTGTGACAGACGAGGCTATCATGCCATTGCCCTCGGCAACTACTGAAGATTTCATCCCTTTTCAGGAACTTTTTAAGAGAGTCGCAGCTGACCTAAACATTGCGATGGAGGAAGTGCAGGACACACAACATGAGCTTACCAGCATACTGTAGGCTACACCTTCCTCAAAAATTGCCTTGCCTATCAACTCAATTATCATGGAACCTACCAAAATCTTTTGGACAATCCCTGCCTCAATTCCTCCCACCTACAAAAAGGCAGACCGAACTATTAAGTCTCCCCCAAAGGGGTCAGAGTTTTTATTTATTCATCCACCATCTTTGACGTGGTGCAGTAAAGAAATAAACAACAGCAAAACCATTCCACACCATCCAACAGAGATAATAAAAGACTTGACACGCTTGGTAAAAAGGT